GAACGCGGGCGCGGGCGTCGCCGCGGCCGCGGGCGCCGCGGCGGCGGCCGGCGGCGGCGTCGCCGCGCGCGGCGGCGCGGCCTCGGGCGTGACGACGCGGCGGAGCTCGCGGAGCTCGCCGCGCCGCATCTCGACGGCGTCGCCGCCGTCGACGGGCGACAGCGTGAGCGCGTCGCCCGCGGCGCCGACGACCGTCGCGCGCTTGACGTCCGAGAGCCCCGGCGCCCACGTCTCCGCGTCGAGCTCGGGCATGCGGAACTCGAGCACGGCGCCCGCGGCGATGGCCTCGCCCTCGCCGACGGCCACCGTGTCCGCCGACGGCGCGGGCGCGGGCGCGGGCGCCGCCGGCGCCAGCACGTGGTAGTCGACCTTGCAGCGCTTGAACGTCGGCTCCTCGGCGGCCGCCGGCGCGTCGCCGAAGAAGCCGCCGGCCCCGGGGGCGAGCGCCGCGCGCGCCGGCGCCGGCGCCGTCGGCCGCCCGCGGCCGAGGCCCCGCAGCGGCGGCGCCGGCGCGGGCGCCGCGGCCTCCTCGTCCGACGACTCCTCGTCCGACGACGCCGCGGCGGCCGCCGCGGGCTTTTCCGTCTTTTGCTCCTCCTCCTCCTCGTCCGAGCTCGAGTCCGACGACTCCTCCTCGGCGGCCGCGGGCTTCTCCGTCTTTTTCTCGTCCTCCTCGTCGTCGGAGTCGGAGTCCGACGACTCCTCCTCGGCGGCCGCGGGCTTCTCCGTCTTTTTCTCCTCGTCGTCGTCGTCGGAGTCGGAGTCCGACGACTCCTCCTCGGCGGCCGCGGGCTTCTTCGCCGCTTCCTCCTCCTCCTCGTCGGAGTCGGAGTCCGACGACTCCTCCTCGGCGGCCGCGGGCTTCTCCGTCTTTTTCTCCTCGTCGTCGGATTCCGAATCCGACGAGTCCGCCGCGGCCTCCGACGTCGGATTCTTCTCCTCCTCCTCGTCCTCGTCCGACTCCTCGTCGGACGACTCCGCCGCCGCCTCCGCGGCGGGCGTCGCCTCGTCCTCGTCCTCGTCCGACTCCTCGTCGGACGACTCCGCCGCCGCGGGCTTCGCCGCCTCCTCCTCGTCGTCGGACGACTCCGCCGCCGCCTCCTCCTCCTCGTCGGACGAGTCCGAGCCCGCCGCGGCGGACGCGTCGGCGTCGACGGCGGCCTCGATGGCTTCGGCGCCGGCGGCCGCCGCGGCCTCCGTCGTGATCTCGACCTCGAGCGCGTCCTCCGTCGTCGTCACGGCGACCTCGATCTTGTCCACGGACGCCTCCTCGTCGCCGTCGGCGCCGGGGTACTCCTGCGTCTCCTGCGTCGCCGTCGGCTCGTCCGCCGGCGCCTCCGCCAGCGCCGCGGCGTCGACGCGCGCCTTCTTCGCGGGCTGCGCCTCCGACGCCGCCGAGGACTCGCTCGCCGTGTCGTCGCCGGCCTTGCCCTTGCGGTTGCGGTTGCGCTTCCGCTTCGCGTGCTTGACGCCGCCGCGCTCGCGCGGCGCGGGCGCCGCGGCCGCCGGCGCCTCGACCGCGGCGTCGAGCTGGTCGCCGTCGTGGAGCACGCCCACGGGCAGGCTCTCGTGCACGAGCGCGCCGTCGAGGGACAGCGTGATCTTCCGGGCGTCGATGCCCAGGATGCGCGCCACCGTCGTGCACAGCGAGCCGACCGTCGCGTCGGCGGCCGCCGGCACCGGCAGCAGCAGCGACGCGCCGTTGAAGGTCGACGCCGTGGCGGCGTCGCGGACCGTCACGCGCACGCGCTGCAGGGCCTGCTGCATGGCCATCATCGTTTTGGTCGCCCGACGCTGCCGAGGCGAGGCGCGCGCGCGAACTTCCTCCGCCATCGCTAATCGCGTCTGTGTTAGCAACCGCAGCGAGTCACTGTTTACGGCACGCAGCCCGAGATGCCGCGCTGCTCCATCGACGGCCACATCCACCTCGAATGGCACAATGTTTTCATCCACGACCGCATCTACCTCGTACTTCTGTGCGGTAGTGCATGAAAACATTGTACCTCAACGAGAACGCCACCTCATACCGTGCCTTCCTGAATCAAGCCGCCTTGACAATCACAGCAGCAGGGTGACTTTCGTCCGTCCATCCACAGTGGCATTCTAATCCGCGACCGTCCGCCCCGGAGCCCCGCGACGCCCCGCGAGCCCCCCGCGCCAGCCCCTGGGCCCGCCGCAGCCCCCCCGCCGAAGAAACGCGACTTTCGGGGCAGCCGCAGCCCGCCGCGCGCCGCTACTTCACCATGGCCTCTTCTTCGCCCGGCACGGCCCACTCGGCCCTCACGGCGATCCTGAGCCTCTCGGACGGGTCGGCGCCGGCGGGCGGGTCGAAGATGAAGCGGCTCCAGGCCCCGGCGGCGGGCCGGGGCTCGAAGATGAAGCGCCTCAAGGGCTCGGGCCCGACACCGACGGCGGCCGCGGCCGCGCCGGCGCCCGCGGAGATCCGCGCGGACGACGCCCCGGAGCTCCGCGAGCTGCGCAACGAGCTCCTGAGCCTCTGCGACTCCTACGGCCGGGACCGGGCGCCGGACGCGGCGCCGCCGGCGGCCGAGGGCGAGCTCGCGGGCTCCGAGGGCGACGAGGACGGCGACGACGACGACGACGACGAGCCCGGGCCCGGGGCCACGGCGAGCAAGTACACGGGCGTCTGCTACCGCACGGACGGCAACAAGGCCACGCCCTGGCTCGCGCGCATCACCCAGGGCGGCGTGCACACGAATCTGGGCGTCTACGCGACGCCCGAGGAGGCCGCGCGCGTCTACGACGACCGCGCGCGCGAGCTCGGCCGCCCCGTCAACTTCCCCCGGCCCGGCGAGCTCCTCACGCTCAAGAAGCGCACGGTCAAGCGCAAGCCCCGCGGGCCCACGCGCCTCGAGCGCGAGCTCGGCCTCCAGCGCGACGCGGCCCGCGGCGACGCGGCCGCGCTCCGCGGCGACCGCGACGCGGCCCGCGGCGACGTCGCCATGCTCGTCGCCACGCTCCGCGCCGAGCGCGAGACCACGCGCCTCGAGCGCGACACGCTCCGCGCGGAGCGCGACGCCGCCCGCAGCGAGCGCGACGCGCTCCGCGCGGACCGCGACGCGCTCCGCGGCCAGCACGCGGCCCTCGCCGCCCTCAAGGACGAGCTCCTCGCCAAGCTCGGGCCCGTGGACGCCTAGCCGCGCGCGGGGCGCGCGGGGGGGCGCGAGCGCTCACGAGAGCGCTCACGAGAGCCGTCTGCCTAAGGCAAAGTCGATCGAACGCGTCGCCGATCCCAGTGGAGAGCTCCGACAAGAACCCGCCGTCGTGCGCATCCAGCATGACTACGCTCGGGAAGAAGCTCGTGGAGAAGAACTCCGTCAACGAGGGTGACTTTGTGACGGAGAATGTCTGGGAGGACGTTGTGACGGCCCCAAGTGAGGCGGAATCGAGCACACCTCTCACTTGCGAGCCAAAGAAGAAGCGCGTGAAGACGACGGCGTCTCGCAAGACTCAGGCCCCGGCCCATCTGCAGCGCCCGGAGGAACCTTTGAGAGATGAGCCGCCCACGGTGGTGCCGACCGCGGGCGACGGCGCAGACCGCGACGACGACACGGTCGGATACGAGGACGAGGCGCCGCCGCGCGCGGCGCCCTCGCTCCTCGCGAGCTTCGACGCGGCCGCGGCCTCGTCGTCCGAGGACGAAGAGGAGGAAGAGACCTCTGGCCAACGGCCTAAGAGCCAGTACCGCGGTGTGTGCGCGTCGGGTAGTAGCGCAAAGCCGTGGCGCGCGACCCTCAAGGTCGATGGAAAACCGGTCAATCTCGGCAGCCACGCGACGGAGGAGGAGGCTGCGCGCGTCTATGACAAGTACATCCGGGAGCACAATCTTCTTGGCACTAATCGCCGAAAGCTGAACTTCCCGCTGCCCGGAGAAGAAGAGGCGAAGAAGCCCCCGGAGAAGCCGCACGCGCGCCCCGGGTCGTCGACCAAGCCCGCTGCGCACAAAAAGCCGTCGGTTACGGAGCAGCTCGCCACCGCGCGGTCGGAGCGCGACGCCGTCCGCCTGGAGCGCGACATGCTCCGCGCGGGCCGCGAGACCGTCGCCTCGGAACGGGACGCGCTCCGCGCGGAGCGCGACGCGCTGCGCTCGGAGCGGGACGCCGCGTGCTCGGAGCGGGACGTGCTGCAAATCCAGCTCACTTGTATGACGAGCTTCAAGGACCAGCTCCTCGCGAAGCTCGCGCCCGCGTAGGCCCCGCCATCGAATTGCCGGGGCATCCGCGATAGGCTTCCCGGAAGCCGCAAGAAGAACAAACTCAGCCCGCAAATAAACCCAATTACTCCATATCCTGGGTCGCGACAAGCCGATCAGAGACAAGCACAGAGAAGGCGTCGGAGAGCTATTGAGCCGATTGTTGAACCAATAATGACCTCGCTCTGAGCTCTCTCAGACGCACGCCGGACGCCTCGACCGCAAACCATTCGTCGACATGACACGCACCGAGAAGCTCGAGGAGGAAACCTTTGTCGATGGATTTCTCGTGACGGAGCACGCCCAACCGAAGAAACGGGCGAAGACCACGGCGTCGCCCAAGACGTGTGCGCCGCGGGACGCGTCGCCGGCAAAATCGGCGGACGATTCGTCGGAGAAAGTGCCCCGCGCGCGCGACGGCGCGGACCGCGACGACGACGCGGTCGGATACGAGGACGAGGCGCCGCCGCGCGCCGCGCCCTCGCTCCTCGCGAGCTTCGACGCGGCCGCGGCCTCGTCATCCGAGGACGAAGAGGAGGAGGAGACCTCTGGTCAATGGCCTAAGAGCCAGTACCACGGTGTGACCACAACGGGTAATAGTAGCAAAAACCCGTGGCGAGCGACCACCAGGATCCGTGGAAAACCGGTCAATCTCGGCAGCCACGCGACGGAGGAGGAAGCGGCGCGCGTCTATGACAAGTACCTCCGGGAGCACAATCTTGTTGGCACTGATCATCGCCGAAAGCTGAACTTCCCGCTCCCCGGAGAAGAAGAGGCGGCGAAGCGCGCGAAGAAGCCGCTCTCGCGCCCCGGGCCGTCGACCAAGCCCGCTGCGCGTAACGCCGCCGTCGAGATCCGCGCGGAGCGGTCCGCCGCGGTCGCGGCCGAGGCCGCGGGCGACACGCGGAAGCCGTCGGTTACGGAGCAGCTCGCCACCACGCGGTCGGAGCGCGACGCCGTCCGCCTGGAGCGCGACACGCTCCGCGCGGGCCGCGAAACCGTCGCCTCGGAACGGGACGCGCTCCGCGTGGAGCTCGACGCGCTGCGCTCGGAGAGCGCCGCCGCTGTTTCGGAGCGCAACGCCCTCCGCGCCGTCCTCGACGCCGCCTGCGCGGAACGCGACGCGCTACGCTCGGAGCGCGACGTGCTCCAGGGCGAAAACGCGGCTACCTCGCGCTTCAACGACAAGCTCCTCGCCAAGCTCGGGCCCGTGGACGCCTAGCCGCGCGCGGGGCGCGCGGGGGGCGCGAGCGGGGGGGGGGGCGAGAGCTCGAGAGCGCTCACGAGAGCGCTCCGCCTAAGGCAAAGTCGATTGAGAAGAATCGATGAACATGTTGTCTACTTGTTGACCCTCTCTCAGCCACACGCCGACGTACGCGACACGCCCGCAAAGCTTCGTCGTTCAACACATCTTGAAGTTCACATGACACGCACCGAGAAGCTCGAGGAGGAAACCTTTGTCGATGGATTTCTCGTGACGGAGCACGGCCAGAAGGACCACGCCGAGCAATGGCCTCCAATCACGGAGTCGAGTGTGCCACCACCGAAGAAGCGGGTAAAGACCACGGCGTCGCGCAAGACGTGTGCGCCGCGGGATGCGCCGCATTTCATAACGGCGGACGAGTCGTCGGAGAAAGTGCCGCGCGCGCGCGACGGCGCGGACCGCGACGACGACACGGTCGGCTACGAGGACGAGGTGCGGAGAAGCAATCTGGAGACGCCCGCGATCGTCCCACGCGCCGCGCCCCCGCGCGTCGCCGCCGCTGTTCCACCGCCGCTCCCGCATCCGGCCGGTGGCCCGAGGATCCACGCCACGCCGCTGCGCGCGGCGGCGATGCCCTCGCTCCTCGCGAGCTTCGACGCGGCCGCGGCCTCCTCTTCGTCGTCCGAGGACGAGGGAGATGACGACTTCGAGGACGAGGACGAGGACGAGACTGGCCAAGAGCGTAAGAGCTCTGCCCAAGGGCGTAAGAGCCAGTACCGCGGTGTTTACTCGTATGACAGCGACAAACACCCGTGGCGCGTACAGATGGAGGAGAATGGATGCCGGGTTACTACATATCACGTGACGGAGGAGGAGGCTGCGCGCGCGTGGGACGCGTGGCTCCGCAAGCACGACCTCGTTGGGACGTACGGCCGATGGCCGAACTTCCCCCTCCCAGAAGAATTAGCAGCGAAGAAGCGCGCTGAAGAAGAACGAGCGGAGAAGCGCGCGGAAGACGAAGAGAAAGTGAAGATGCGCGCCGAGAAGCGGCGCACGATCCCCCGGCCGTCGGCCAAGCCGTCGGCCAAGCCGTCGCTCACGCAGCAGCTCGCCGCCGCAGTTTCGGAGCGCGACGCGCTCCGCGCGGTGCTCGACGCCGCCTGCGCCGAACGCGACGCGCTACGCTCGGAGCGCGACGTGGTCCAGGGCAAGCTTGCGTGCATGGCGAGCTTCAAGGACGAGCTCCTCGCCAAGCTCGCGCCCGGGTGAGTAGGCCGCTCGGAGCTCGGAGAGCTTTAAGAAAAACTACTCCGCGTCCTGGGTCACGACCGCCACGACGTCGTCGTCATCCGGGGGCTGGGGCGTCAGCAGCGCGATCTCGTCGTCGTCGTAGGCCGGGTAGAGCGGGAGGCCGCAGGCGCGGAGGCTCGCCGCGTGGCGCGGCGGGCAGACGACGCGCTCCTCGGGCCGGTCGTCGCCGCGCTTGCGCTTGAGCGTGCGGACGACGCGGAGCTCCTCGCGGAAGTGCATCGCGAGGGGCGGCAGCAGGCGCCGGTGGTTCGTCCAGTACAGGACGGGGTACAGCGCGGGCGTCTGGCCCGACTTCAACTGCGGCACGGCCTGGTCCGCCAGCACCGACGCGAGCGCGCCGGCGCCCATGAGCGGCGCGTCCGACGCCGTGAGGCGCCAGCCCGCGAAGAGGCGCACGACGCCGGCGGGCGGCGCCTTGCGGCTCGCGACGCGGTGCGCGATGGTTTCGAAGAAGACGAGGAGGTGGCCCGGCGGCACCGCGACCGTCGCGCTCCGCGCGGCCCAGGCCTTGGCGTCGCCGAGCGGCGAGAAGCCCGCGGCACCCGCCGCGTCGTCGCCGTGCGTGCCCGGGCAGCAGACGAACTCGCTCGCGACGGCGTCGAGGTTGAGCCAGCCGCCGAAGACGTCGTCGCCCGCGGCCGCCGACACCGCGACGTCGCGGTGCCACGACTCGGCCGCCGCCGCGCGGCCCGGCGCGCGGAGCATGGCGCGGTCCAGGAGCTGCTCGAGGCGCCGCCCGCGGCGCAGCGGCGCGAGCGCGCGCGCGCCGACGGGATGGATCACCCGCCGGAGCGCGCGGACGACGCCGTTGTGGAACGACGACGCGTGGCCCAGCGCGCCGAAGCCGCCGCCGACGAGCGCCGGGACGCCCGGCGACCGCGCGACGCCCGCGTCGAGCTCCGGCGACGCCTTGAGCGCCGCGACGAGCCGCGCCCGCCAGTCCGCCGCCGCCGCGGCGCCGAAGACGGGCAGGACGACGAAGCCGTCCGCCGCGAGGCCGCCGTCGCCCGGCGCCTCGGCCCGCGGCGCCGTCCGCGGCGCCTTCGCGGGCGTGACGACGGCCGGCATGGCGCTCTCCGCTCGCAACATTGTGTAGGCGCTGCGGCAAGCTCTTCAAGTTGCAGTGCAAGCCTCACACGCGTGCCCACGGACTTGCCCCGATCCCCTTCCGCACGCCCTACACCCCTTCCCGATCCAAGGCCACCTACCCGCGCGGGTCGGCTCGCGTCAGTCTGAGCTGTAGCGGGAGACGAGGTCCCGGACGCTCCCGCGCCGCGTGCCCGTGCGCTGCCGGCCGAGGAGCTTCCGGACGCTGCCCGTGAGCCGCTCCGGCAGGGATGCGAGGAACGGCGGCGGCGCGCGCTCGTCGTCGTCCTCGCCGCGGTCGCGATCCGGGCCGCCGTCGCCGGCTTCGGCTTCTCCGGCTTCGGCTCCGACGCCCTCGAGCCCCCGGAAGGACCCGTGGCGCGTGTCCGACGACGACAGCGCCACGGCGGCGGGGAGGCTCCGGCGGCGGCGCGCGCGGCAGCAGAGCGCGTACGCGAACGCCGCGACGAGGGCCGCGGCCCCCGCGGCGACGGCGCCGACGGCCGCGGGCGACGCGCGCGCGCGGCGGACGAGGCCCGCGAAGGCGAGGCCGACGCAGAGCCAGAGGATGTTCACGAACTCCTCGAAGACGACGACCTGGAGCTCCGTGTGCATCGCCAGGAAGAGGCCCAGGACGAAGAGGGGCAGCTTCACGGCCCGGGGCGGCGCCCAGGCCATCTCCCGCGCGACGTCCTCGACGCGGCCGCGGCTCCAGCCGGCCACCTCGCGGTGCGCGCGGTTCGCGCGGCGCCGCGCCGTCGCGTCGTCGACGCCGGGGTCGCGGCGGTCGCCGCCGGCGTCGCGGTCCGCCTCGGCCCGGAGCGCCGGCAGCGACGCCGCGACGGACGCGACCGACGGCGGCGCCTCGGCGGGGAGCGAGGCGGCCCTCCGGGGCGGCGCGGCCGCCGCGCCCCCCGCGCGGGCGACGGGGAGCGAGGCGCGGCGCGCCCGCGTCTTGCGCGCGACGCGCCGGGGCAGCACGTCCGCGCCGAGGACCGCGGCGACGGCGTCCGCGTCCGCGAGGTCGACGGCCGCGACGCGGAGCTCGTGCCTGTAGTCGAGGCGGGGCACGAGGAACGGGTCCCCGACGTGCGCGACGCGCGCCTCGAGGAGCCGCGGCGCCATCTCCAGGAAGACGACGTGCGCCGGGAGCACGACGAGTGCGACGGTCGCGACGACGCGCAACACCCAGACGACCCAGAGGCGCATCTCGGCCCGGCCCGTCGCGCGCGAGAAGAAGGCGAGGACGACGAGCATGCCGAGGCCGACGAGGCCGAGCGCGACGGCGACGGCGACCTTGGCCGCGCGCGGCGCCGGCGCCGCCGGGGCCCGGTGCAGGTCGCCGAAGCCGTCGCCCGCGGCGAAGCCGTGGCGGCCCTGGGCCGTGAACAGCGCCGACTCGACGGGGTGGCGGAGCGCGCCCGCGTACTGGAGCCGGGCGAGCGCGACGTGGCGCGCGGCCGCGTCCGCGTCGCCGAGGCCGCCGCCCCAGCGCGCCGCGGCCGCGAGCTGGGCCTCGAGGCGCGCGCGGACGCGGCGCGGGAACGCGGCGCCGCGGTCGACGGACCAGAAGGCGCCGTGCGCGGCGAGCAGCCGGCGCAGCGCCGCGGCGTCGTCGCCGGTCGTCGCGTCGCCGAGCGCGTCCTCGATCTCGCGCCGCTGCGCGAGGACGAGGAAGCACGCCCGGTCGAGCGCGAGCGCGGCGTTCGACGCCGCGTCCCCGGCCGGCGCCGCGTCGACGCCCAGGTTGTCGAAGAGGCGCCGGCCCGCGTCCTTCGCGGCCCGGGCGTCGCGCGCGGCCCGGTCGTCGCGCGCGCTGCCTTGGCCCGCGAGCGGCGCGAAGAGGTAGCGCTCCGAGACGTAGTCGACGAGCTGGATGAAGGGGAGCACGAGGAGCACGCAGAAGAAGGCCTCCTCGAGGTCGAGCAAGAAGGCCTTGGTGTCGTTTGGCTCGCGGAAGTGGCAGGCGTCGTCGTAGTCCGGGTCCCACGCGCACATCTTTTCCGCGCCGAAGGCCGCGGAGCTCCGGACGTTTTCGCAGGACGACTCGTCGTCCTGCGCCTCGCAGAGGCCGCTCGGGTTCTGGAACCAGTAGACGATCGCCGTGAAGAAGATGATGCCGAGGGTGTCCAGGAGCGCGAGCGCCGCGCGGGCCGCGCGGCTCCGGCGCGCGTCGTAGACGTAGAAGACGCTCAACCAGGGGTGCCGGAGCTTCACGCTCTCGATCGCGAGGCTCAGCAAAGGCAAGCCCCCGGCGCGCTCGCGGCCCACGGGCCCCTTGGCGACCGCCACGGGCAGCGACGCGCGGAGTCCGAGCACGTGCGCTTGGCGGCTCTTCTCCTTGTACGCGTCCTCCGCGGCGCCGCCGAGCCCGCCGATCGCCGCCGCGAGCGCGTCCACGCGCCGTTGGCTCGCGCTCCGCTTCGCGCCGGCCTCGCGCGCCGCCGCGGCGGCGGCGCGCCGGTCCGCCCAAACGCCCCAGACGAGGACGAGCAGCCAGAAGCCCGCGAAGCCCGCGAACAGTTTGACGAGGGGAATCGAGCTCGTCGCGAGCTTCTTGTCGAGGGGATCGGCGAACGACCGGCGGACGTAGGCCAGCTGCGCTTCCTGGTTCGTCGTCGCCGCGTAGTCCGCGCCGCCGTCGATCGCCGGGCACTCGCACGCCGTCGCGTCCGCCGTCGACGCCGTCGCGGCGCACGCCTCCGCGTCCCAGTCCGCCGCGCCGTTCACGTACCGCAGGCACGTCTCCGTCGTCGCCGACGAGCAGCGCACGATCGCCGCGCCCGCGTCGCCGGCGAGCGCGCAGGCCCGGGCCCGCGTCTCCGCCGCCGTCGCGCCCCGGCAGGCGGCGGCCGCGTCGGGCGCCGAGCAGTCGACCTCGAGCTCGTAGTCCCAGGACTCGAGCGGCGCGGACCGCCGGACGGTGACGACGAGCGTCGGCGCGCGGCCGCCCCGGAGCCGGCGCGCGGCGCCGGGGACCGCGGCGTCGGGGAACCGCGCGGTCGTCACCCGCACGACGCGCGTGTCGACGCGCGCCGGCAGCGTCGGGCGCGAGTTCGCGTCGAGCTCGGCGACGGCGACGTCGACGAGCGTCGCGCCGTCGGCCCAGGCCGCCGGCAGGCGCGCGGACGACGCCCCCGGCTCGTCGGACGCGGCGAAGTCGACGTCGACGGCGTCCGCGGTCTCGACGCGCGCCACGCGCAGCGCGGCGCCCGGCGACGCGACGGCCGCCGGCTCCTCGCCGGGCACGAGATCCTTGGCGAGCGCGACGCCGAGGTCGTCGATCGCCGAAGCGAACGCGAACTCCTCCGACGCGCAGCGCGTGACCTTGGCGCCCGGGAACCTACCAAGGACGACGGTGACGATTTCCTCGTTGTTTTTCCACCCAAGATCTCTCGAAAATCGTCGCGGCCACGGGACGCCGCCGGGAACCCGCGGTCCGCGCAGATATCGCCGCTCTCCGTTTCGAGCGCGCCCGCGCCGAGCAGCGCCGCGAGCGCGTCGAAGATGCCGGGAGCCGTGCCGCTTACGACGCCCTTGCGGGCGCTCCACTCGGACACGAGGCTCACGACCGTGAGCGCCGAGGCCTGGCTGCCGTCGCCGAGCTGGTCGGCGTCCTCCGTCAAAACCGCGACGCACGCTGCCTGGCGATTGACCTCGAAGATCTTGAGCGGCTGCTCGTGCTCCGCGATGAACAGCAGGTGGGCGACGAGGCCCTCGCGCAGCGCCCGGACGTCGTCGTCGGACGCCGCGCCGCGGGCGACGGCCTCCTCGTGGGCCGCGTTGACGACCGCGATGGCGCGCCCCCACGCTCCGGCGGCGACGGCGTCGGCGACGGCGGCGTCGACGGCGGCTTCGAGGTCCGCGACCGTCGCCGGCGCGGCGGCGGCCACGGCGAGGCGTTCGACGTCGGCGACGGCCGCGGCGCCGAGGCCGTCGGTGACGGCGCCGACGCCGCGGCGGAGGCCGCGCGGGAGCGTCGCCGCGTACGAGGCGGCCGTCGCGTTCGACACGAGCGGCACGCGGACGCCGCGGCGGCCGACGTGCGCGAAGGCGTAGACGAGGGGCGGGTCGTCGTCGGCCCAGCCCTCGAGCGAGAACCGGAAGTCGTCGAGCGCGGCGCCCGCGCGCGGCGAGACGTCGAAGGAGCCGCCGGCCGGCGGCGCGTTCGTCGCGACGGCGACGGACGCGGCGGACTCGCCCGACGGCGTCGATGCCGTGAGCGTGAAGATGTAATTCGCGTCCGGCGCGAGGACGCCGGCGCGGAGCTTGAGGTAGACATAGCCGGCGTCGACGACGGCGCGCCGGCGCGTGAGCAGGGCCGCGTCGTCGACGTCCGCGGACCACTCGATTGTCGCCGCGGCGCCGCCCGTGCGGACGAGCGCCTCGAGCGTGAAGGGGTTCGAGGGCGAGACCCGCGACGGCACCACGGGCGAGAACTCGACGGTCGGGGCGTCGGGGGCCGCGTAGGCGTCGTCCGCGGCGACGCAGGCCGAGCCGAGAACGATGAGCGCCCTGACGAGCATGTTTAGGATCTGTCGTGAGCGCGGCGACGCAGGCCGAGCCGACGAGCGCCTCGTCGAGCACGTTTAGGATCTGTTTGGACGACTTGCAAGGCTTGCAAGGACGCTCGACGTCTCGCGCGACTTGTCGTTCGCCAAAGCCGGCACCGGCGCGCGCCGCCGCCCGCCGCACGCGGTGGCGAGGCCTCCGGCGCCGGGGCTTCCCCCGGTCCCCGTCCGCACGCCGCGCACCCCTCCCGCCCCTTACCCTCGCGGCGCGGGCGCGGGCGCGCCGCCGACGACGGCCGGGAGCTGGGGCCTGCCCGCGGTTCCGAAGAGCGCGCGCGGCGTGCCGTCGTCGGACGACGGCGGCTCCTGGAAGGGGGCGGACCGCTCGCCGCCGCGGCGCGCGCGCCCGGGCGCGGGCGCGGGCGCGCCGGCCGTGGCGACGGGCGCCGGCACGGGCGCGCAGCGGAGCGGCTCGTCGTGGCGCGCGAGCGCCATGACGTCGGCGACGAGGTGCGCCTGCTGTTTGAGCCGCGTCATGAGCGCCTTCTGGCGCCAGGTCCGCGCCCAGCCCGGGCACGTGCGCTCCGCGTGGTCCGCGAGCTCCTCGGCGCGGAGCGTCGCGCTGCAGGACCGGCAGCGGACGGGCCTCCGGGGGCAGTCGCGCTCGCAGTGGCGCGGCTTGTGCCGGAGCTCGAGGAGCGCCGGGCAGCCGAAGGGGCAGGGGTGGAGCACGCGCACGGTGGACAGGGGCTTGCGGTAGAGGGGCGCGTCGGCCTCGACGAGGCCGCGCTCCGCGGGGAACTCGGGCGGCGGCGCCTCGGGCCAGACGCGGTCGATGGCCGCGCCCATGCGCTTGATCGTCGACGGCCGGTGGCCCGGCGGCGCGGGCAGCTCGTGGCTCGCGGGCTCCGGCAGGTGCAGCACGGAGGGCAGCCGCGCCTTCTCCGCGGACTCGGCGACGTCGAACGACTGGCGCGCGGGGTTCCCGTGGTCGCCGACGAACGCGAGGCGCTCCTTGAGGCACAGGTCGAAGGCCGCCCGCCCGTCCATGCGCATGGACCGGTACGTGCGGTAGGCGTGGTGCGCCGAGTCGTAGATGGAGTCCACCGTCGGGTTCTCGAATTTGCCGCCGCTGAGCCGGCTCAGGCTCGACGTCGTCGCGGGGCGGTCGAGGACGCACCGCCGGTGCGAGCCGCTGGCCCAGGTCGAATTCGCGGCCGTCAAAGAGCCCAGGGACCGCACCGTGGACCCGAAGCCGTCGGGCGCGTCCAGCGACACGTGCGCGGCGACGAAGCGGTCCGCGCCCGCCGCCGTCGTCGACCGGAGCGGCGCGGTGACGTACTCGCCCCGCCCCAGGGAGAAGGACTCGCCGCCCGCGGAGACGCCGCCGGGCGTGCAGATCGTGTGCGAGTCGTCGAAGAGCCCCGGCCCCGCCGGGCCCGGCCCGAAGCCGGCGTCGCTCCCCGCGTAGCTGCTCTCGTAGGCCGACTCGTCGTCGCGGTGCTCGCCGTCGGCGAGGTCATATCGCGGCACCAGCGGGTCGAGCGCCGTCAGGTCCTCGGGCGGCGCCGGGCACCGCTGGCCCAGCACGCCGCGCCGCGAGCTCTCGAGGTACGCGCGGAGCGGCGGCGCGCGGCGCACGCGCCGCGGCGACGGCAGGATGCCCTCGTGCCGGCTGTGGAGCACGACGAGCGCGTCGAGGATGGCGTGGTTCCGCAGGCGGCCGCAGGCCTCCACGTCCAGGGACCGGCGCAGCGCGAGCGCCGCCGCCGCCCAGACGCGGACCGCCGACGCCGCGAACGACCGGTCCATGGCGTAGCACCGCGCCTGACATGGGACGAGGTTCGACGCGACGCTCTCCGAGAGCCACCGGCTCGTCCAAACATCGCCTCGGGCGCCTCGTCGCGCGCGTCGCTCCCGGACGCCGCGCCGCGCGGCCGCGATGCCCCGGTCCGCCTCGAGCTCGTCGGCGAGGAGCGCGTGGGCCGCGTCGAAGTCGTCGGCCCGCGCCGCGACGGCGCGCGCGTCGTCGACGTCGATTGCCAGGAGCACGTTGAGGCACCTGGGCAGCAAAAGGGTGCGAAATTCCCAACTTCAAAGGCTCCGATCTCGGTCGTTTTCCGCTCGTTTCGGCTGATTTTTGGACGAGCGATCATCTCTCGGAGCGCTCTCGAAGCGTGGGTGCTGTTTCCGAAACGCGCGCGCGCGGAACACTCACGTTGAAGCGACGTTGAATCACCCTTTTGCTGCCCTGTGAGGCACGCGCGCGTCGACGCCGCGCAGCCCCGCGCGGCCGCGAGGAGGCCCCGCCAGTCCTCGGGCCCGCGGCGCCGCGCCCAGGGCCGCAGGAGCAGGCGCAGGGCCCCGAGGGCGCCGGACGTCCAGGACCCGGGCCGCCGCTCGCTGAAGCGGAGCGCCTTGGCCGTCGGCAGCGTCTCCGTCGCGCGCCGCAGGCTCTCCAGGCTCCGCTCGAGGTCGCCGCCGAGCGCCGGCCGCAGGCGCGGGCTCAGGAAGTTGACGCGGTAGCGCCAGGCCGACGACGCCGCGCGCAGCGCCAGCGCCGCGGACGCGTTGTTCGCGAGGAGCGCGCGGAGCACGACGTCGAGGGGCAGCCCGATGAGCGGCTCGCCCCGCGGCTCCGGCGCGTCGCCGGGCAGCAGGGCGTCGTCGTCGTCGTCGTCGTCGTCGACGCCGCCGTCGAGGACCGACGCCTCCCCGGGCAGCAGCGCGTCGTCGTCGTCGGCGGGCGCCGGCGCCGGCGCCGCCGCCGCACCGGAGAAGCCCGGGAGCCGCGGCGGCAGCTGCTCCGGCCCGCGGAACTTGGGCAGCGGCGCCGTCGCGCGGCTCGCCGCCAGCGTCGCGCGCCGCGTCGCGACGCCCTCCATCACTGGGGGCAGCCCTGGGAGAGCGCGGCCATTGCTCTTCACGCCCGCCGCGTTGTCCAGGATCGGAAGGGTCAAGGGTGCTGCGACCTTGAAGCCTCTCCCTAAGTTCCTACCGCGCGGCGGCCCCTAGGACCCGCGGCCCGAGGTCCTGTTGTGGCGGCGGTCCTCGTCGCGGATGAGGCCGCCGATGACGGAGTCCTCGGGGAAGCAGAAGCCGAAGCGGCCCTGGCCGCAGGTGTGCACGAGGGGCTGCGCGCGGTCGCCGCGGCGCGGCGTCTCCGGCCCGGGCTTTTCGCCGTCGGCCGCGGCGATGTCCCGCCGGAGCTGCTCCTGGAGCTCGACGAGCTGGAGCTCGCGGGCGAAGGACCGCGCCCGCGCCTCGTGCGTCGCCCGCGCGGCGCCCGCGGCCGCGGCCGCGGCGGACCGCGCGGCGTCGAGGTCCGCGCGGACGTCCGGCGAGTCGCGCGCGTCGTAGGCGCGGTCCGTCGTCGCCGGCGACGGCTTCAGGTTGTCGCACGTGCCGACGCCGAGGGCGGCGACGTGGCTCGGGTAGGCGCCGTGGGCGAGGAAGCGGCGGTAGTGGGGGTCCTCGAGCTTCGTCGGCTCCGGCGGCGTCGCGAGCGGGTCGACGTTGAGGTACGCGCGGACGCTGCCGTCGACCATCTGCACGACGACCTCCTCGCGGTGGTCGCCGACGACGTCGACGGCGTTGCTCACGGCGCGCAGGACGACGCCGTCGCCGTCGCCGTTGATCTCCGCGAGGAGCTTCCCGCCGCGGCCGAAGACGCGGGGCCGCTGCTCGTCCGCGGCGGAGACGGCCGCCGCGCGGCGGCGCCGCGCCGGCGTGTGGTAGCCGAAGAAGGCCGTCTCGTGGCCCACATCCCAGTCGATGGGGTACCAGTTGTGGGCCTCGCGGGGCCACGCGCCGAACGGGTACGCCTTCGTCTTCCGCCGGGCGACGTCGTAGGCGAAGCCGCCGGTGACGAAGTGGCCCCCGAAGGTGCCGACGACGTCCAGCCCCGGGCCGCCGGACACGTTCACGGCCAGGTTCCACTGGAGGTGGAACTCGGGCCCCGCGCGCTCCACGAGCGGGAAGCCGTCCGCCGCGCGGTAGAGCCCCCACTCCGGGCCGGTCTCGGAGAAGAGCAGCACCTCGGCGCCGGGGCTCGCCGGGTCGATGTCGTCGACGACCTGGCCGTCGACGTGGGCCGACGCGCCGAACCAGGCGTTCGCGTCCCAGAGCACGGACCCGTCGTCGTCGAGGACCGTCGCGCCCGCGAGAATCTCGTCGCGGCCGTCGCAGTCGACGTCGACGACGGCGACGTTGTGGCTCGTCTGGCCGTTGGCCATCGCCGCGGTCCCGCCGCGCTCCGTCGCCGTGCCGCCGCCGGCGTCCCAGCGCGGCGCGAGCTTGCCGTCGCGGAAGTCGAAGACGAAGGCGCGCCACGGCTCGTGGCGGCCGCCCATCACGCCCAGAGACACGCGGCTCGCGTCGCCGTCGAGCGCGGCGACGAAGGCGTCGTGGCGCGAGTTGTCCGCGCCGTCGCAGAGCGGGTAGGGCGACGGCACGGACGCGACCTTGGCGAGGTGGCGCTTCGGATGCTTCTTCGTGGACTCGTCCTTGAGGAGCACGTACTCGCACGCGCCGCGGTCGTTCCGCGCGACGGTCCAGATCTCCTCGCGGCCGTCGCCGTCGACGTCGCCCGCGGCCCGCGGCCGGCTCCAGAGGCTCGTCTCGCCGCCGGGCGCCTGCTTGAGGGCGACGCCCTTGGGGCTCTCGACGTTCACCCAGCCCTTGTCCGTCGCGGCTTGTACGGGATGCCCGAGGTCGTTGTCGTAGGCCCTGACGAGGCCGGAGCCGTCGAGCCAGACGGCGCTGATGCCGTAGCGCTTGCTGCCGTCGGCGTCGGAGCCCGTCTGGTGCCAGACGACGGCCTCGACCTCGCCGTCGCCGTCGACGTCCGCGAAGAGCGCGTTGCTCACGACGGGGATCTTCGGCCGGCCCGTCGCGTTCATGGCGGCGTCGCTCGGCGCGAGCTCGACGTAGGCCCGCGCTTTGGCGCCCGCGGCGACGCGCGCCCGGCGCGACGGCGCGCCCGCGAGCGCGCCGGCCGTCGCGGCGACGACGTAGTCGTAGGCCTTCTTCGGGTCCGCCGCGTCCGCGAAGTACGTCGTCGGGACCGTCGCGAGGACCTCGAAGGCGCCGCCCCGCGTCCGCCGGCGCACCTCGTAGGACGGGCTGGGCCCGTCGCGCGCGAGGCGGCGCCACGAGAGGACGACGGCGCCGCCGCCGCGGGGCACGGCGACGAGCGCGCGGCCCGCGCCGACGGCCCGCGGCGCGTACGTCGTCTCCGCGGGGTCCAGCTTCGGTTTCGTCGCGTCGGGCGCGGCCCAGGACGTCGGTTCGACCCGCCCCGGGCACATGTTCTCCTCGCAGAAGTCGAGGCACCGCCCGAGCTGCTTGTGGGAGTAGCCGTCGGAGTGGCGGGTCAGGTACTCGGCGCCCTCGAGCTCGCAGCGCGCGAGGCACCGTTTGGCCACGCTGGCGCAGGTGGACACGCGCCGGCCCTTGAGTTCCTTGGCGGCGACGAGGGAGGCCCAGAGGGCGAGAATGACGCGCATGGGAGGCGCCATCGCTCGACTCGTCGAGTGGAGATTTTTGGGAGTGGTCAGCGATGGCTCGCGTGACCGCGACATCTCCAAGCGCGATGAGTCGATTCCTGTTCGGCCTCCTGGCCTGCGCGTCGGCGAGCTGGACGCCGGAGCTCAAGCTCAAGAAGCACGGCGATCAGAGCAAGGTGTCGCAGGAGTGGGGCCCGGCCATCCGCGCGACGCTCAAGGCGAGCCTCCACGCCTACGCCGACAAGGCCATCTCGTCGCCCAAGGCCGCGGCGAAGCTCCTGGCGAAGACGGCGGAGCGGCTCGACGCCGTCGTCGCCGTGCTCGACAACCGCGTCTTCGTCGACGAGGCGTTCCTCGAGGGGCCCGGCGCGGAGGACGGCATGCGCCACCTCCGGGTCGTCGCCGGGGCGACGCGGCTCGACGCCGGCGTCCCCGACGTCGCCTACCGCTTCGCGCTCCACGCCGACGACGGCGCGGGCGGCGGCGACTGCCGCGCGCGCGCGCCGGAGCTCGTCGTCTACAAGCGGCGGGGCTACGGCTCCTGCGGCGTGCTCGCGCCGCACGCGGCCTTCTCGCCGCCGCCGCCGCCCCTCACGAGCACGAAGCGCAAGGGCGACGACTGGGAGGTGCGGGCGGCCCACGCGGCCGCGGCCGCGGCCGCGCGGAAGTGGGCGGGCCGGAGGGACGCGGCGCTCTGGCGCGGCGGCGCGACGGCGAACTGGACGGCGGCGCCGGACCGCGGCGACTGCGTCGCCGACGCGCTCCGCGCGCCGCTGCTCGCGCTCGGGCCGCCCTTCCTGTTCGACTGCGAGGGCGCGTGCGCGTTCCCGCGCGCGGCGCTCGACGCGTGCGCGCGGGGCGACATCGCGGCGCCGCCGGGCGCCTTCGACAAACTCCCGGCGGCGCAATCGGGCGGCGACGCGGCGGGCGAGCTCCGCGACTACAAGTACCTGCTGAGCGCGCCGCCCGCGCGGTCCCTCGCGAGCTACTGGATGCAGGGCGCGGTCGTGCTGCTCGCGGACGCGCCCGTCGTCGAGTGGTACTCCCCGGCGCGGAAATCGACCGCCGGTTCGGGACGTCCCGACGAAACTTTGACATTCTCGAGCTCGGTCACATCGACGTCGATTCGGCTGATTTTGGACGAATCGATGGCTCTCGTCGAGGTCTCGAAGCACAGCCGAAGCGCTTGTGTCGACACATTCGATGACGCGCACATTGAAGTCGGGTTGAAGATTCGAGTTCCGCGCAGGTACTACCCGGCGCTCCAGGACGGCGTCACGCACGTCGCCGTGACGGCGAAAAATGCCAGGGCCAAGGTCGACGACCTCCGGGCCGAGGACGCCAAGGTCTCGACCCTCCGGCACCACGCGCTCCAGGTCCACAAGAGCCTGCTCTGCGCGACGTGCACGCTCCGCTTCGTCCAGCTCGCGCTCCGGAGCTTCGCGGCGCACTTTGGGTTCCAGAAGGTCCTCGACGGCGCCGACGGGCGGCGCGCCTTCCTCCGCGACGGCCTCAAGTCCTGGCGCGGGACGCTCCTCGAGGTCAAGTTCGGCGACGCGCTCACGCTCGCGGAGACGTACCAGCACGAGTCCTACACGATGGTCCGGGCCATGCTCAAGGCCGTCGGCCGCGACGAGCTCATGTTCGTCCGCGCCGTCGCCGGCGACGCGCTCGCGCCGACGACGGCCTGGCGCCTCCACAACTGGCGGCCCGACGAAGCCGTCGTCGACCTCCACGGCGACGAGAGCGCGCGGAGCGACCTCTAACCACGGTTAGGTCGCGCGATGATCGCCGGCTTGGCTCGCGCCCGTCTGGCGCGACTTCGCCCCGAAGGTCTACGCGCGCTTGGCCGTCATCATCTCGAGGCCGTCGTCGTCCTCGAGGGCGCCCGGGTACTCGTCGCCGTCCTCGTCGAAGGCCTCGAACTCGCCGTCGAAGCCGACGCGCCCGCCGGCCCGCCGGTAGCCGCGCGCGCGGTACACGAACGAGTCGCAGCAGCGCGCGGCGATGAGCAGGTAGAAGCAGCCCACGCCGAACCCGACGCCCGCGAGCGACCCCCACGCGATCAGGAATTTCTGCGTCCGCGACAGGTGCGCGAGCGCGGTCCGCCAGTCGTCGTCGTCCGCCGGATCCCATTCGTCGTCGTCGGCGTAGTCGTCGTCGTCGTAGGGGTCGTCGTCGTCGTCGTCGTCGTCGTCCGCGTCGTCGTCGTCGTCGTCGTCGTCATCAGACGCATGCGACCCGCTCCACGGCCACACGCCCGAGGCGCGGCGCTGGCCGGCCGCATCGTCGTCGTGCGTTTTCGGCGGCCGATGCGGCGTCCCCCGGGGGATAACGTCGGGCGCCTCGGCGGCTGCCACCAAAGCCGCAACGGCGACGACGAGCGCTCGCATGGTCGGCGACAAGGGGTGCGGATCTGGCGCCTCTCGCGAGCTCGAGAGCGTGATCGATCAGCTGTGGAGATAATGAAATTTTCGGCGAGCGCTCGAGCGCGGGCAGCCAGCCGACTCTCCCGCGCTCTGCCGCTCTGCCACTGCAGCTCTGCCGCAGATCGCAACAACGCCCCGCTCGACGCCGAGCTGCGACCTCGCAAAACCGCCGCTCGACGCCGCGCGAGATCTATCCGCAGCGTTGCTGCTGCCGCTCCACGCCCGCAGCCCCGCGCGCCGCAGCGCTGCCAAGCCGCCGCGCTCGCGACCGTCGCAGCCATGGGCCTGCGCGACGCGCTCATCTTCGTCCTCACGGCGCCGTGGCTCGCGCTGGGCCCGGCGAACGTGTACAAGATCTCCATGATCAACCGCGGATCGCCGATGGCGAAGTACATCGTCGTGCCGCCGGCGGAGGAGTGCCAGGCGGCCTGCAACATCGCGCGCATGTGGGGCTGCCTCTTCTGGGGCCTGCAGGCCGTCGTCGCCGGCGGCATCGTCGCCGGCGGCGTCGGCGACCGCACGGCCGCGGCCGCGAAGCTCTACGTCGGCGCCGCGCTCGCCGTCGCGTACAAGGAGGACGTCGTCCGCGAGGTCGTCGCCGCCGGCGCCGCCGTGGAGATCGTCGTCGCGCTGCTCCTGCTCTCGCGCGCGGCCGCCGCGCCGCGGCCGAAGACCGCGTGACGACGCCCGGGGCGGCCGCTCTCGCGCGGACGAAGAGGCTAGCGCGTGAGCCGGAGAAATTAGACGACGTCGATTTCGGCGAGCTCGATCTCGGCGTCGATGTCGTGGCGATCGGGGGTGTCGGGAAGCTCCTGCTCGGCGCGGCCGGAGGCCTCGTGCTCCGCGCGCTCGAGCACGCCCCGCCAGTGGTCGTTCCACTCGGCGTCATCGTCGTCCGTGTCGCCCCGCCAGGGCGTCAGCGCCACGTCCTCGCCGAGCTCCTCGACGAACTTGAGGCGCGGCCGCGGCCGCGGGCGGCGGTAGACGAGGACGCCGCAGCAGCACGCGAGGACGCCGCAAAAGACGGCGGCGACCGCGCCCCAGAACCGCAGCGAGATGCGCGAGCTGGTCGAGAATGGGCGCCAGGCGGAGCTCTTCGGCGGCGGCGCGGGCTTCGGCGCGACGCAGGGCGCGTCGACGCACGACCGGGAAGTTTCGCACCAGGAATAGCCCGCGTCCCCGTGGCACCCGTGCGCGTCCTCGTCGCCGTCGCCCGGGACGTGGTCCGGCGGCAGGGCCTCGACGTCGCCGCAGGGCGTCTCCCAGGCGCGGACGCACGCGCGCGATGGCTCGCACCACGAGTATCCCGCGCTGGAGACGCACCCGTGCGCGTCCGCGCCCTCGCCGACGAAGTGGTCCGTCACGGGCGCGCACCCGCAGGTCAACGGGCACGCCTCGGCCGAGCCCGAGAGCATGCAAAACCCTTCGTCCCAGGTCGGCATATTCACGCAGTCGAGCAGGATATCGACGACGCCGTCGGGGCACTCGCAGGTCTGCGTGATGTTTAATGGACACGGCTGGCGAACAGCCGCCGCCGTAGCGCACAAAAGCCACCGCCAACGCATGCTACCCGCCTTCCCTTTAAAATGCGCTACAACGCGCGCGACATGTCGCCGTGTCGCACGAGACGAAACAATCACTGTTTTTGCTCTGTTTTGCAGCAAGACCATCGAGACTCGCCCTAGGCGTCGCCCCTCGTGTCAACGCGCCCCATAATCACAATCTCTAGCTCCGCAAAAGACAAAACACAAGGATGCGCCTGCCGCTGCTCCTCGTCGCCGTCGCCTCGGCAGCGACGCCAAACTGGGAGCTCGAGGCCGAGCTCAACGCCGAGGTGCCGGCGGAGAAGCGCGACGCGTTGAAACACGCCGTGCGCGCCGAGGTGAAGCGGAGCCTCACGCGCTACCCCCACGTCATCGCCGGGGCCGCGGACGCGAAGGCGTTCGTGCGACGGCTCGGCCGCGCGGAGCGGCGCGAGGACCTCGTCGTCGTCGTCGACGGCCGCGTCCTCGTCTCCCCGGCCTTCGCCAAGATCGACAAGAACAACCGGCACCTCCAGTTCGTCTGGTCCGTGACGCAGATGTCGAACGTGCCGAACGTGGCCTACCTTCTCGACCGCTTCGCGTTCGGCGACCGGCACCCGTACCCGTCGTCGTCGGCCAACGCGTCGAGCGGCTGCGTCGCCGCGCCGGGCCCGGCGCCGGACCCGGAGTTCGTCATCGCCAAGTACCACGGCCACGGCATGTGCGGCGTGCTGATCCCGAACATGTACGTCTTCAACGAGGTCGGCAAGTGGGCCAAGGAGGCCGAGAAGCTGAAACAGGCCGCCGTCGCGAAGCCCTGGAAGGACCGGTCGTCCCGGGTCTTCTGGCGGGGCCAGATCCTGGCCCAGGACAAGTGCCACCGCGACGGGGGCAACCACGCGCGCTGGTCCGCGCTCGCGCTCGCGCGCGAGAAACCGGACGCCTTCGCGTGCGCGTGCCTCGACGGCAAGCCCTGCGCCGCGCGCGACGCGGCGCGATTCCCCTGCGACGGCCTGCCCTACACGGCGACGATGGCCGCTTTGGTCGCCGAGGACCGCGCGAAGCACTCGAAGGCCGCGCTGCCGATGGCCGACTTTGCGAACTACAAGTTCCTGCTGAACCTGCCGGGGACCATCTCCGGGTCCTACAGCCGCCACCTCAACGTGCTCTGGGCGCTGGGCGCCGTCGTCCTGCTCTGGGACTCGCCCCACGTCGAGTGGTACTACCCCGCGCTCAAGGACGGCGCGACGCACGTCGTCGTCCGCGCGGAAATCGACCGCCGGTTCGGGACGTCCCGACCAAACTTTGCAATTCTCTCGCTCGGTCAAATTGAAGTCGATTCGGCTGGACGAATCGATCGCTCTCGTCAAGTTCTCGAAGCGGAGTCGAAGAGCTTGTGTCGACCAATACGCGCACATTGAAGTCGGGTTGAAGATTCGAGTTCCACGCAGGTCGTCGTCGACGCGGCGTCCGCGGCCGAGACCGCGGCGGCGCTCCTCGCGGACCCCAACCGGGCCCGGGGCCTCGCGCTCCGCGCGCGCGTCGTCCACGACCTCTTCCTCTGCCCGGACTGCCTCGCGAGCCACTTCAAATTCGTCGTCGACGCGTACCGGAAGCGGTTCCGCCTCGAGAAGGCGCTCGACGGCGCCGCGCTCCCGGCCGTCGTCGGCGACCTCCTGCGCGAGGGGCCCCTCGTCGAGGTCCAGTTCGGCGCCTCGGAGACCCGCGGCGCGGACGCGAAGCCGACGAGCTCCATCCCGCACCTCTTCTCGCGGCCGGTCCGCGCCGCGCCCGGCGACGCCGCGGGCTTCGTCGCCGACGGCGCCTGGACCCGCTCGCCCTGGCGGCCGGGCGTGACGCTGCCGTAATGGCTCCACTCGGGCGTTCGTTAAGGCGTTCGACCTCATCACGGGCTTCATTGAGGTCGAGATGGAGCCAACGTGGCCCTCGTTGACGCACTGGAAAATCATTTTGCTCCAAGTTTTGCGACGCGACGCCATCCGCGTCTGGCACGCTCGGCGGCCGGTTCCCAGCCGCGGCGGCCGCCATGGGCGCCCCGCGGTGGATGGACGACGGCGAGACGGGCCGGTGCATGGGGTGCACCAAGGCCTTCGACAGCGGCACCTGGCGCCACCACTGCCGGCGCTGCGGCATGATCTTCTGCGACCACTGCAGCCGGTTCAAGTGCCTCATCCACCCCGCCGAGGCGGTCTACCCGCCGGACTGGGACTCGATGCTGTCGAGCTTCGACCCGCGGGAGCCGCTGCGCGTCTGCGCGACGTGCCACCGCGAGCTCGCGCCGAGCCAGGCGACGCTGCGGCAGACGACGGCGAACGCCGCGC